CGCCCTCCTCCTCTCTGAGAGCAGTGCAGGCTTACACCTTAGACGCGCAGCCCTGCAACCATGATGAACAGCACGGAGGAGGGCGACACCAATATGAGCAACGACGCCGGCGGCCCAGCGGCACCGCCGACTCCCGAACGGTACACTCGATGGCGCCTCGTCGTCCTCGTCTTGCTCGTCCCCCTGCTCGTGCTCCTGATGCTGCTGCTCTTGCTCCTGCTGCCGCTCCTCCTGCCATCGTCCAGCTGAAGTCATACCCTCATACTTAAGCTAACCTCCTCCTCCTCCTCCTCCTCCTCCTCCTCCTCCTCCTCCTCTTACTGGCCCACCCTGTTGCTGCTGTTCCTTTCTCTCTCTTTCCCCGTCCCCTCCGCCTCCTCCCACTACTCCCATTGCTTTCTCAGGCAGAGGTCGAGGCAGCCCCAAGTCTCAGGCGCATGCGTTCCGCGGTGACGCCCACGACGGCGCCAAAGACGACGACGGTGCTGGCGGCGACTACGAAATTGACGAGGGGGCTGCTAAAGGTGCCCCCATCTCGGGGGTTGCTAAAGGTCCCCCTGGCCCACAGTGCCCACCGTTTTGAAGCCCCAGGGGCCCTTTGGGCCTCGTGATGGGTTGCTCTGGAGGCTGTGGGGGCCTCCCCGAAAATCCTCGGGGCACCTTGGGTCAGGGGCGCTTCTAGCAGCACACGACCGGCAAATGCGTTGAACATCGTCCCCGGAACCCTCCCGGGGTCCGCCGAGGGCGCAGGGCGGTCTGCAGTCTCGAGACCTCTGCAGGCGGCGGTATGTACACGTTTTCTTTTCAATTATATATATATATATATATATATATATATATATATCGGAGTAGGCCGGGGGGGGGGCCGGGCCGGTGCCGTCATCCCCCATGGGCGCCCCCCAGAACCTTTGGGGGGTCACAGACCTCCTGGGACTGCCCCGGGCCGCTTCCAAATTGCCCACGACAGGCCACGCGGGCCGTACAGATGATCAAGAAAGCCTCAAGAGGCCCCGAAGACGCCCAAGAGCGCCCCAGGAGGGCCCGAGATGACTTGAAGATGGCCGACGAGGGCCCCGAGAGGGCCTTCAAGAGGCAAACATATGCCCATCCCCATACTCGCAATTTTAGTACACTTCGCTGGCTTCGTTTTCACAGTGCCCCAGACGCCCCCGCGGAGCCCCAACACAGCCCAAGAGAGACCCAAGAGGGCCCCAGACGGCCCAAAAGGGTCGGCCTGTGGGGCTGACGGGCCCCCCCGAGACGGCCCAAGAAGCGCCAAAGCCGGCACAGGAGGCCCCCAAGACGGCCTCCAGGAGGCCCAATAGGGCCTCGTTCGAAATCATGTTCCCGGAAGCTTCTCCAGGAACATGGTTTCCGGGCTCCCAGGACGCCCAAGAGGCCCACAAGACAGCCTCAGCGAGGCCCAAGAGTGCCCGAGATGGCTTGAAGATGGCCGAAGAGGGCCCCGAGAGGGCCTTCAAGAGGCAAAAATCAGCCCGTCCCCTTTCAGTAAAACGTGCATTTTCAGCATACTCCTTTCCTTCGTCTTCACAGTGCCCCAGATGCCCCCGAGGAGCCCCAACACAGCCCAAGAGAGACCTAAGAGGGCTCAAGACGGCCCGAAAGGGTCGTCCTGTGGGGCTCAGGGAACCCCCCAAGACGGCCCAAGAGGCCCCGAAGCCGGCCCAGGAGGCCCCCCCCCCAAACAAGACGGCGGTGCGCCACCCCCATCATCAGGGGCAGACTATCCATGCCATCCACATCTCATCGGCTACCATCCAATCTATAATATACATCACAAATCACTCTCACCAATCATCCAATCACATATAGGCCACATCATGCAATGATCACATGCCAAAATTATCAACCTAAACCATCACCACAACCTCAACTCTCAAAAAGAAGACCCTAACTTTCAGGAGGCCCAAGAGAGCCTCTTTCGACATCATGTTCCCCGAAACCTCTCCGGGAACATGACTTCCGGGCTCCCAGGACGCCCAAGAGGCCCACAAGAGAGCCTCAGCGAGGCCCAAGAGGGCCCGAGATGGCTTGAAGATGGCCGAAGAGGGCCCCGAGAGGGCCTTCAAGAGGCAAACATCGGCCCATTCCCCACGTAAAACGTACATTCTTAGCATACTCGCTGGCTTTGTCTTCACAGTGCCCCAGATGCCCCCCGCGGAGCCCTAACACAGCCCAAGAGAGACCCCAGAGAGCCCAAGACGGCCCAAACAGATCGTCCCGTGGGGCTGACGGAACCCCCCAAGACGGCCCAAGAGGCCCCGAAGCCGGACCAGGAGGCCCCCAAGACGGCATCAGGGAGGCCCAAGAGGGCCTCGTTCGAAATCATGGTTTTGGAAGCCTCTCCGGGAACATGATTTCCTGGTTCCCAGGACGCCCAAGAGGCCCACAAGACAGCCTCAGCGAGGCCCAAGAGGGCCCGAGATGACTTGAAGATGGCCGAAGAGGTCCTGTGGGGGTGACGGAACCTCCCAAGACGGCCCAAGAGGCCCCAAAGCTGGTCTTGTCAGGGTGCGCGTGCCCCCCCGACCCCGCTGGACCTCTCAGGAGCCCACGAACGCGACCTCGGTCAAGCAGTTCGCAGCCTTTTCGGAAGCAGCGAGGTCTCGTCTTGGTGCACGCGGCCCCTTGCTCGCTCAGCTGGATCCCCCAGGAGATCACAAGTGGCGGCAGTCTCGCAGTTCGCAGCCACCCAGGGCGCAGCGAGGTCTCGGCTGAGTGCACGTGGCCCCCGGCTCCGCTGGACCTCCCAGGAACCCACGAAAGCGGCGAACTTTGCGCAGTTCGCAGCTACCCAGGGAGCAGCGAGGTCTCGTCTGGGTACGCGTGGCCTCCGGTTCCGCCGTGCCCCCACAGAGCCGACAGTTACGGTACCCAGTTCGCAGCCCCCCAGAGAGCAGCGAGGTGTCGTCAGTCGTCAGGGTGCGCGTGCCCCCTTTGGCTCCGCCGTGCCTCCACAGAGCCCACGAAAGCGGCGACAATTATGCACTTCGCAGCCACCCAGAAGGCAGCGAGGTCTCGTCTGGGTGCGCGTCCCCTCCCCCCGACTCCGCTGGACCGCCCAGGAGCCCACGAAAGTGGTGGCGGTTGCGCAGTTCGCAGCACCCCCCGGCAGCAGCGAGGTCTCGTCCAGGTGCGCGCGGCCCCCGACCCAGCTGGACCTCCCAGGAGGTGACGAAAAGGGCGACAGCTTCGCAGCTCGCAGCCACCCAGAGAGCGATGTCTCGTCTGGGTGCGCGTACTCCGCAACTCGGCCGTGCCTCCCTTGAGCCCACGAAAGGGGCGACGGTGGCCCCTGTTGGGGGGGCAGATGGCCGCGCCGTGGACCCAAAGGTCGGCAGCAACAGCAACAGGAAAAGGACGTGGAGGAGGAGGACGAGGAGGAGAATTCGGCTGACGACGACGGTGGGGACATGGACGAGGACGAGGACGAAGACGACGGCGAGGACCGGCTTTGAACGAGGATGCTTGCGTGGCGGATGCGGCAGAGGAGGATGTGGCAACCTTGGTGCGCTCGCCCCCCATGTCCTACGTCATATCTCTCTTTCCCATCCCTTGACATTGCGTAGAGTCCCTGTCCGTTAGCACCGTAAGATGTTGAAGAGGACAGCGACGCCCAACAGATGCGCGATGCATGGCGTGGCATCGCATTGCGCAGCCAATCATTGCACAGCATAGCAGTGCAGCGCAAGGCATGGCATCGCATATCGGTACATCACACTGGCATGCCATTGCATGGCACCCATGGTTGTATGAACGGTGCAGCCAAACAACCATGTTGGAGGACCGACACTTTGGAGATAAGGCCAGTGTTGCACTGGAATCACAATTCGAAATGACCGAGAACGCGGAACAGAGGCTGAAACTGATGCGGGAACAACCATTCGGAACGACCAAAAACGCAGAACTGAGACCGGCGTTGCAGCACGAACACCATTTGAAATTACCGAAAGTGCGGAGACGAGACCAGCGTTGCAGCGGGAACGCGATTTCGGAAAACCCGAAACGCCGACATGCCGCCAGCGTGCAGGGGGAACATCATGTGAAAATACCCGGAACGGTCGGATTGGAACAACACACAAGATACGCAAGGTCCCCCTACATCGTGTGTTCACAACACCATACGCGGAAGGGGGCTGTTATCTCAGCGCATGCCGGGGGGAGTGAGGAAATGGTCCTCATACTGCGTATTTATTTAAAAGAGGAGGAAAAGAAGAGAGGAGGAGAGGGAGGAGGAGGAGGAGGAGGAGGAGGAGGAGGAGGAGGAGGAGGAGGAGGAGGAGGAGGGAGGTCAGGAGGAGGAGGAGGAGAAGAAAAGGGAGGAGGCGGAGGAACGCCGCTGCCTTTGGCGGGCAGGCCTTCCGCCCCGCCTTTTCCGAAGGGGCGGGAAGGGGGCTTGAGCGGGGGCGAAGGGGCCATGCGTGGCGCCCGCTGGCCTTGCGCAGTGGCCACGCGCCGAGGCGGCCGCGACACCGCCACCAGCTCGGGGACCGCTGCGGGCCAAAACCGGGCCTGGGCCTCTCTGCGCAGCGCCGCGAATATTCCCCTGCGCAGAGAGGAAGCGGGGAGGAGGGAGGAGGGAGGAGGGAGGAGGGAGGAGGGAGGAGGGAGGAGGAGGAGGAGGAGGGAGGAGGAGGAGGAGGAGGAGGAGGGGAGGAGGAGGAGGAGGAGGAGGAGGAGGAGGAGGAGGAGGAGGGAGGAGGAGGCTGCCACCCCAGGTTTCTGCAGTGGGGGCCATCCCTGAAGCAGTCAGCATCGGGTCACCCAGTACGTGGTCATCCAGGTTCCAGTCCCCATGTCAAGTGCGACCACCGCCCTGTGCGCGGGGATGCGCCAGTGCTGCGGCGCTGGGGCGGCCGGTAGGAGAGCCATTCAAGACTCTAGGTGTGTTGTTTAACGCGAACTTGACCATGAAGGAGGCTATACACGAGTGTCCTGGGGCCCTCTTGGGCCAGTTGGGGGCCTTTTGGGCTGGGGGAGGAGGCCCGGCACCGAGCGCCGGCTCCGCGCCATGGCGGGCGCCGGCCCCCCGCCGGCGCCGCCGAGCGCCGGGCTGCCGCCGAGCGCCCCCGGCCGCTGAGGTGACGCCCGGACCGGAGGCCACAGGGCGGGGGCCCCCAAAGGGTGCGGTGGCCACACCGCACCCAGGGTTCGGGCCGAACGAAAGGGGGTGATAGTCACCAGCCTCGAACGTATGCCTATCCCTAAGATTGACGCGCTAAGAGGAGATGACAATCTTAGAGATACACCCTCAGAAATTGAGGGAATCCCTAAGATCACCATCGTGATGAGGCGATGCCCAACATAAGGATAGGGATACGTTCCAGGCTGGTAAGATAGGGAAGAACGGGGGCCACGGGGCTCTTGCCGCACCCAGGGTCCACGGGCCGAACGAAGGGGGGGGAGATAGGGAAGGGGGGGGGTACGAGATCTGCCGCATGCAGCTGGTTTCGGCCCCGCCGCCGGGCCCGTTCCTCGATACACGGGCGCCTTCCGGCGCCGGGAGGCGCCGGGAAAATCAGCTACGTGCGCTGATTCTCACCCCCCCCCTTTGCTATCCCCCCTTTCGTTCGGCCCGAAGGGTCCACGGGCCCCTGGCCGCCCAGCCGATCGCCGCGCTGGGCGGAGGCCCCACAGGCTGCTGCCGCGCGCCGGGCGCAGGCGTTCGCGGCTCTCGGCATCGCCGGCTCCGACCACGAGGGCTTCGACGAGGAGCTCGGGCGCCTCGGAGCCGCTGCGCCGTGGGAGGCCGACGCGCCGGCCGAGGCCCAGCATCGGAGAGCACCGCCGAGTCCGAGCATGCCGCTGCTGCGGCGGCGCGCGAGGAGCCCCTCTGCCCATGGATCCTGCCATCCGCACGGCGCCCGTGGCAGATGCCTCGCGGGTCCCGAGCCGAAAAGTGCGATGGATTGCAAAAAACCCAAGAATTGCAAAAAAAACCTTCGCAGGATTGCAAAAAACCTTCGTAGGATTGCAAAAAACCTTCGTATGTTTTTTTTTTGCAATCCTTGGTTTTTTGCAATCCTTCGTTTTTTGCAATCCGGGTTTTTTTGCAATTCTTCGAGAAAGCCCATGGGATTCCTCAGGACCCTGCCGACCCGCTGGCGTCCTGGCCCGGGTGGGCGCCCCTCCCAGCCGACCTCTGCTGCGAGCCCCGGGGCGCAGAGGAGACCCGCTGGGCGAGCCCCGCGGCCAGCGCCGCGCGCCGGGTGCGCTTCCACAGTGGGGTTCGCCGCCTGACCCCCCGATGGCCTCCCATTTCCCCCCGTCGTTTTTGTCTTCCCCTCTCTTCTCCGGAGGGAACAAAAAGCGAACGGATACAAGTCATCGTCAATTCCAACGAAAATCTGTGGAAACATGGGAAGTGTGAGGAGGGAAGTCAAAAGCCAAGGAAATATGGGACATTTGGGGAATCCTGTTATTTGTGTGTGTGTATTTATTTGTGTGTCCCAGGGACCCTTCATCTTCCCCCTGCTGCCTGGCCAGGCTGGGAGCGCAGGGGCCCTCGCCGCAGTCGTGTCGCCGCCTGCCTGCCCGCACAGACCACTGGGGTCAGGGCGAGGAGGGCGAGGAGGGCGAGGAGGGCGAGGACGAGGAGGACGAGGAGGACGAGGAGGGCGAGGAGGACGAGGAGGGCGAGGAGGACGAGGAGGACGAGGAGGTCGAGGAGGACGATGAGGGCGAGGAGGACGAGGAGGACGAGTAGGACGAGGGCGCTATCCCGAAAAGAATCAGCAGAAAAAACGTGAGCGGGAAGCAGGTCGGGGGTGAGCCGTTACAGGCGAGGGCCCCCGGTGGGCCCAGGCCGCGCACGGCCACCTGTCTCGCACCGTGCATCCAGCGCAGGGAGCAGCCTGCCTCGCCCCACCTCGCCACATCCCTGTCTTCGTCGATGTATTTTACCAGGGGAACGAGCCCTGCCATAAGCATGATGACTCGCAGGTCCGCCGCCTCTGGCGCGCCCCGCGCGCCAGGGAGGGGGGTCCAGCGCGGGTCCAAGAAATCCGCGTGGACGTCCGAGTTTTTATGCTCACGTAATTGTTCTAATTGTCCCCTACTCACGCTCCTCGCCTCCCTCCCCTCGGGTTCCGCCGGCTTGGCGGCGGTGTCCCGAGACCCCCCCATCGCCCCTCTCCCTCGTGCGCCCTGTTGCGAGGAGCGAGTGGGCGCCGCAACCCGCGCGCCCCGGCGCGGGCCGAGGCCCAGCAGCTATTCATCCAGACGGGGATCGGATCGGCCTCGCCCCTGCTCTTGGGAAGGCAAAACCACGACAGCTTGCGATGCGCCACCAGCCCCAGGCATCGCACTTGGCTGCGTCGTCGGAGATCGGGGAGGAGGAGGAGGAGGAGGAGGAGGAGGAGGAGGAGGAGGAAGTGGAGGAGGAAGAGGAGGTGGAGAAAGAGGAGGAAGAAGAGGAGGAGGAGGAGGAGGAGGAGGAAGAGGAAAGGAAAGGGCGGTTGAGGAGGAGAAGGAGAAGGAGGAGGAAGAGGAGGAGGAGGAAGAGGAGAAGCAGCAGCAGGCAAAGCAGGGGTGGGTGGAAGAGGAACTGACGGAGGACCAGACTCGTTATTCGAAGCCAAAGCGTGACTGCAGATTGTTTTTTGTTGCTGCTGGGCGGGGGGGGGGCTCCCGAGGCACGCGACGCCAAACGCGCGGCCATGAGGCAGGCGTTCAGCAGCGCAGGCCCCCCGTTTCCCATTTCCGCCCCCTGCGGGGCCGCCCGCCGCGCCCGCCCCGCGGGGGTGGGGCGGGCGGGCGGGTGGGGGGGTGGGGGAGGGGAGACACGGAGGGAGGAGCAGGGGGGGGGACAACGAGGGGAGAAGGGGAAGAGGAATGGTGGGGAGGAGGATGGGGAGGAATCGGGAACGAGGGAGGAGGAGGGAGGAGAGAGGGGCAAGAGGGGAGGGACGGGGGTGAGGGGAAGAGGAACTGTGGGGAGGAGGACGAGGAGGAATGACGAACCAGGGAGGTGGGGCGAGGGAGGAAAGAGGGCAGGAGGGGAGGGGAGGGGTTGGAGGGGCAGGAGGAGATGGGGAGGAGATGGGGCGGGGTGTGTGGGGGAGGGGGGGGGACGGCAGTTGGGGAGAGGAGGAAAATTTGTGGGATGTGAGGGAAATCAGAGGGCTGGAGGAAAAGGGAGCGGAGAGGACAAGGGTAAGCTAGGCACGCGTGTCCCATATCTAATGGTTTACCTTTCCCGTCCGTTTCTTCCCATCCTGTTGAATTGTCTCCATCCTCCGACTGGTGTCCTAGCGGGCCCGGGTCCCTGAATTGATTCCTATCGCGTGTTGTGCAATCAGAG